ACGGCCAGCTGGGGTTCGTTCGCATCCAGCGCGGTGATGGCAGTCTCTAGCAGCATTAGCGTTCCTTCGTCGAGCTGCTCCCGCTGCTCGTGTGGGGCTGTCAGCTTCGGGGCGTCGTTCGCTTGAACTTCAGTCCTTATTGCTGCTAGCTGCTCTCTTGCGGATGGCATGATGGTCACGTCTTTTGTGATGACAACGTCAGGAGAGCGATCCCGAGGCGGTGCTGTCCGGGGATCCTTGGCCGGCGCTTTGGGGGCGTTGGCCTGCGCTGCTGACAGGACGCCCAGCAGCAGCTGGTGAAGAGTCGGCTGGTCTATGTTCCCGCTCAAAGTATCCCTGGCGGCTTCTATGTCGTTTTGGTTGGCTGGCAGCATCTGGCCCGATCCCCCTTCGCCGGCTGCTTCGGCCGCTCCTGCGTTGACCAGGTTATCTCCCGTTGCCTTTGTCCTCTTACCCGTCATTTTTTGATTTGTGACGGAGCTCCTGGTTGTTCCTCGGAGAGTGACAGGTCCGCGGCGATGTCGATTCGTTGTGGTAGAGCGTCGATGAGGCTTGAGGGTAGTCGGTAAGGTCTTGGAAAAAAGTGAGAGCAACAATAATAATAAGCTCCAATAGTGTAGGCAGAATGCCGGAACTTTGGAGCTGTCAGCTGAAATAGTAAATTCGAATTCTCAGCAAGCCATACGGCTGCCGTACATAACCTAGCTTAGAGGCTATACTCGCTTTGCTCCTGCCGCATCTAAGCTACAATTAATATTAGTTTTGTCGAATGAGCTTCTAACAGTTTCTAACGCCGATCCTGCTATTGAGTAGTATACACAACGCCACTACATTGCATATTTCCTCCTAACGCATCCTGCATCTATATCACTGAATGAAAAAAAAACGACGAAACCCGTGAAGAGGTAAAAACGCAATAGCACCCTAACCCTCCAAGACGTGGCTCAAACCACTAAAAAAGCCAGTTTGGGGACTTATCACCTCCGACACGGCAAATGCCGATGGGTTGAAAGAATTGCTGGCAAGAGGAGTTAATCGTTAAGGAGAGAGATGAAGACTTTTGATGTAGAGTCCCATAGAAAAATAACGCAACCCGTATTAAGTACCGCCGATTTCCCTTGTGGAGTCCGTTGTAAGTCTTCACCAGTTGAGCGCGTGTTCTTGTTGACCGGGGATGCAGCTGTGGTCACCCAACCAGCGACCCCCGCCATTATACTGGGACCCCAATATGGCCGCTGCTCCATGACCTGCCTTTCAGGTGTACGGCAGATGGTATGCCCCAGCCCCACGTAATCGACCGTTTTTCCCATCAGCCCCGCCGCCAGCATTCAAGCCTTGCATCCCCTCTCTTGCACGCAAGCCTGTGTCCAGGCTGCTGCTAACCATCTTGAGCAACAACAACAATAACAACAACAACAGGGCAACTCTGGCACGCTTGTGGCATGGGGTGCGCTGGGAGAATGAGAACAAGGAGACCTTGTGGCGTCTCGCCGTGGATGGCGTGCCCATACCTGGCAACACGCACCTAGCCCGGGTGCCCACTGAGCCATGCGGGTGTGGGAACTATGGGGGCGCCGCCGGCCGGCCCTGCCCACCGCGTCTGCACCATTTCTGGGAATGTCCAGTCGCATGTGCCGTACGGGAGCAGATCGACAGGCACCTGCCACACACTCAGACAACAGTAGGGGCCACCACCACCCGGCAGCAGCTCTGGCTTGCCCAAGCGCCACCCGGGTGTGAACAGGGCCCTTGGGATGTGATCGCCCTAGCGGCGCTATCCGCCATGGAAGTCGACAGGTGCTGCCTCCGAGCAGCAACCCGGCGACAGGGACGGGTGGGGGCGACAGCAACGGCGGGACAGCAGCAGCAGCAGCAGCAGCGACAGCAACAGCGACAGATGATGGGGCAGCCCCAGCAGCAGAGATCCCGCCAGCGGGCCATCACAGATTTCTTCACCCCGGCGGGAGGTGCAATGCAGCAAGAAGGACCCACCCTGAACGCCCCAGCGGATGATGGGCCAACGCAGGAAGCAGGGGCGAGGCGGTGGCAGCAGCAGCAACAGCGGGCGCAACAGGAGCCTCGCCACTGGCCCGCGCACGCGCCCGGGCGGTGGCAGACTTCTGGGCGCGTTTGCGCTCGTTCGCAATGCTGGAGACCCCCAGACACGGCTGGGACAGAGTCGGGCCGCAGCACCCATCCTGGCGGTCGTGGAGAAACGGATGCGGTGCGCAGCACCGGTGGAAATCACGGCCTAAATAGCCGAGATAGAGTCGGGTCGAGGTCTTACTGGAAAGGGAGCAGGGAGAGTGAGGGAGGGGGTGAGAGAGCCAGGAGTAGGAATAGGTGAGGGAGAGAGGAGAGCAGGGAGGACCTGGGCAGGTGGAAGGCAGGGCGAGAGGGCAGTGCCCTGAGCGTGGTCTAGCAGGGGTAGTTGAGGATCCGGGCTGTGTGTGTTTTGTGTGCTCGTGCGGTTGCCCTCTCCCCGGGAATTGGGGCCCGTCGGAGTGAGGGGAATGGGTTCTGTGCTGTCTGGCATCAGAGTAGAGGAGACGTAGGTGGCTTGTGAGAGTGGAGAGGAGGTGGGAAAGCGGTGGAGGAGAGTGGTTTGGAGGTGGAGAACAGGTGTTGCTGGTTCCGGCCGGTCAGGGTCAGGAGGGGAGGGGTCTCGGTGTGGTAAGCGGGAGCAGGCAGCGTCTGTGAGCCGTGCCTTTTTCGGGCTTTATAGGGGGGGGCCGTGCTGGCTTGACATTCCCCCCGCGGCAATAGGTGTTTTTGCTTTGTCTTGCGCTGGGCTGCACCCGGGAGCCCGCAACCCCCAGGAGGAGACTGACGTACGGACCAGTTTTTGCCTCGTTTGTGAGTGGACCGGTGAGGTAGTGGTGGCCGCCCTTGGGAAGAGTTCGTTGCTCGTTGCTCGTGGTAGTTGAACAGCTGGCCTTCAAGGACCAGTGTGCGAGTACTCGCCTTGCGTTTGTCTTCTTTGTGCAACCGTAGCTCGGCTTTTGTGGTGTGTCGTCTCAGGCCCGTGGTCCTCCGTGTGTCTCTTGCCTTGCTGGCTGCGTGGGGCCCTTGATTAGGAGAGCCTTCTGAGGGGCCGTAACTGACGTGGATAGGTCTTCCCTTGCCTCGGTTGTTTGAGTGTGTAGTGGAGCCCCCTGAGTAGAGCCCCTGGCCCCTGGTGGTGTTTTCTCTTTGTTCTTGTTTTGGCGGTCAAGAGGGACGAGGGCGCGCGAGTAGGCAGGCCAGGCGAAGTGGCGCCTCTCGTGCGGCTCTCGCTTAGTTCGGTCCGCAGTCTCCTGCGCCGCTGTGATGCCTAGCCAGGGACTGGGAGAGTGTCCCGGTTGGCGTGCGTGAGGGAATGAGGCCGCGCACCCGTCCCTGCGCTGTGTTTCGGCCCGGTCAGGGCCCCTGGTGCTCGTCCTTTATCGGGCGAGCCGCCCACAGTGTAACACCCCATCAACAACCACTTCCTTTGAGCCTGGTGAAGGCAGAAGGCACTTTCGAACTTTCCGGCTACGTGTTTGTCTTGTGATGAACGTCGTGCGCGAGGGGTCCAGTTCTGGCAATCAGTACTTATGGAAAGATTTTAAAATTCAAAAACTAAAGATTAAATCAGACGCTTCTTACGCGGTATGTAGTATGCATGACCTCCGCACATAGCCGGTCAGCAGCCGGAGGACATGGAGAGCTCACTGTGCTGATGGAGTTAAGGAAGCGTATGGCTAGCTAGGTGTCATGGTTGCGTACCTATCTAGCTATCGATCTATCTTTCTATTTAAGCGAAACAGTTTTATGATTTAAAATTCTAGTTTTACAAACATATGCAGTGTGCTGCGTGCTGTGTGCTGTGCGATGTGCACTGTAAAGCAAGGTGTATGGCGTTGCGTGAGAGCTTGAAGGCTGTGTTTCGTTCTCACCCACACTTGCTTCGGCGGTTGTTCTTATTTTGGTTGGCTTTCCTGTTGAGTGGCTGGATACTGCCTGCACCACAATGACTGCCAGCTAGCCATCCATGCCATCCATAAGCCTCTCCATTGGCGAGCATCGTTAAGTGATGCCACTTGGTAAACGACGCATTTAAACTGAGCCCACCGACAGAGTGCCTCACCTGTCTCACTCTGTTTCACTTCCCTAGGGCCGACTCGGCACTGATACCTGGCCCTGAAGAAGTCATTGATCGATTCGTTGTTGGCTTTTTGGGCCGCCCTCGGGGTTTTGCAGCTCTGGGGGTTCCACAAGCGGGATGGGATGGGATGGGATGGGATGGGATGGGATGGGATGGGATGGGATGGGATGGGATGGGATGGGATGGGATGGGATGGGATGGGATGGGATGGGATGGGATGGGATGGGATGGGATGGGATGGGATGGG